GGAGAATGTGCGTACCTGTGTTGTATGTGATGGCAGGTGAGGAGAATGTGCGTACCTGTGTTGTATGTGATGGCAGGTAAGGAGGATGTGCGTACCTGTGTTGTATGTGATAACAGGTAAGGAGGATGTGCGTACCTGGGTTGTTGATAACGTGTAACCGGTCGGCTGCAGACTCTGCACCTGCGCGGCAATATCAGTGATCTCCTTAGGCTCCCCTTCCTTCTATACGAACAAAACACAAATCAAGATCGACAATTAGACTATACACATACACACTAACATATAATATGTATGTATATACATATATATATATATATATTATATGTATACACAAACATATAAATGATTGATAGGACATATTTGATTAGCACAGTGGAATACAGGCGATGCAGCATCACTGCACTGCAATATTATTGCATTTTTATCATGTTTTTATTTACTTCCAAGGCCTCTGAATACATACACATATCAGGGGTAGAAATTAACTTTTGAACAAGGGAGTCCAACGGACTCCCTGCCCTCAAAAAGAAAGAGTCCGTGGCAAAATGAGAGAGCCCGCAGTCTGAATTTCAAAATTAAAGATATAACAATAACGCATGTGCTTATTTTGAAGATTCATGCGGTTGCATGTCTGCCAAATTTTCTTTGGACATTTGATGAAAAAATACGGTAATTTTGCAAGGCTGTGCTCTGGAATGAACTAGTCAGTATGGCAAAATTTGCAGGGAGTCACGCGGACTCCTGCATATGTCAAATCAGGGAGTCCGACAGTAAATCAGGGAGCATTTGACTCCGGACTCGCGTTAATTTCGCACCCTGCATATGGTGACTATATAATCTACATCACTGCCTTGGAAACCCACAGTGATCGCGCCTCACTAACGAGCACACAGAATCGTTTATAATTAGCCTCATATTACGTGAAAATCTTAATAATTAAGAAACACCAACCCTAACCTCTACTGTGTACTTGAATCTGATCGCGAGAAACCGCTCCCCCTCACTCTACCCAAATCCGTGACTGGTACTATATAGTGCTCGTAGACTGCCTACCACACCCAACATTACTGGCGCAACCCATCTCTTTGGTGCCTGCTAACAATGTGCTTTAAATAAATTTAAAATTATTTTATTATCGTTATTACTGTATTTAGCCGTAGCGGCGCCCCCCTACCTGCTTTGCTCGCTCCACTATCCTCCTCCTCGGAGGCCGATGATTTGTCCGTAAGACGGATGAGATGGGCTGGCGTGTGACGCATCCCGTTGCGGAGTGATCGTGGCCTCAGGTGTGCCTGCACGGCCGCCGCCAGCGATGACCCCCGCCTCGCTGCCAGCCGGCGGAGCCCTGAAGACACACGAACATCCTGCTGTAATCTAGTCTAACTCCTCGCCAAACTCACTGCTCGCTAGGCTCGTGTTTCAGCGTCTGTCTACCACCATCAGCTTTCGCGCCAATGCAAAACGTCCCTGCTATACTTCCTGCAACGTATTACCCAGCGAGCCGTCAGCCGTGATTGCACGGTCAAAATTAGTAGCACAGCCTAAATATTACGACCGAGACCCACGTACAAAAAATGCACTCCCCAAATATTTTTCAGTCCTTCCCACAATACTCTGTCCTGGCTAAATACCCTGCTTCCGTGACCCTTACCAGGGGCTTTCTGAATCGCCAAACAGCTCCCCAAGTACATTCAATCCACCAGATTTCAATGGAAGGTGATCACTGAACTCAATCCTGCACCCTAGTACATCTACTGTACCTACAGTCGCCTGAGACTGGTAAGGGACCTACCCATGCCCACCCCAACATCTCAACAGAGGAAGCCGCTAAACACACCCGGGGCCATGACCCTGTTAGTGCCTTCTGACCACACTACTCCAAAGATAGAGTGACCGTCGGTGCTGGCGGGCCCCATGGGAGCGGGAGGTGACGATACCTGCGGGGGTGTGGTAAGGCGTGGAGCCGCCCCTGTGATGCAGTGCGTGACCGGTAATTGGCACTATGTGTCGTAAGGTGGAGTGACGGTACCTGCGGAGGTGTAAGGCGGTGGTTGACGATACCTGCACTATGTGGTGTACGTGGAGGTGACCGGTCCCTGCGGAGGTGTGTAAGGCGGTGGTGACGATACTGCTACTATCGTGTGGTAAGGGGAGGTGACGTACCTGCACGATGTTGTAAGGTGGTGGTGACGGTACTGCGGGGGGTGTAAAGGCGGTGGAGCCGGCCCTGGGCAGCAGTGTGACGGTATTGCACTATTGTGTGTAAGGTGGCGGTGACGGTAACCCTGCGGAGG